CCTGCCTTGTTCCAAAAACCATCTGAAAAGTTTCTTTGAACAGAAGCAGATCACAGGCTGAATATTTCTTTACTTTTTTGTTTTTCTTTATTAGATTTCCAAGCCACCACGATCAAGCGACTCTTGACGGGGCACAAAGAGAATCACAAAACGTATACACCTAAAATATCCACAGTGTCATAATGCGACACTTACAAAAAACAAAAGCAGTAAATGTTTAGAGCAGTACCAACCCGGAATAATGGATGGATGGATTGATGCGTTTTAGATGCAAGCCAAAAGTAGATCAAAACAATTTTCGCTTGCGCTTAAAGCTCTAATCCTCGGTTGCCTTCCCAGCTTCATATAGAGAGGAAGGGGAAATGACCCAGAACCACCCAGGAATCCCTCCTGTCAGAGATAACCAGGCAGGTAGGGCCCCTGAGCATATGCAGAAAGCAGTCCCTTCCCTTCCCTTCCCTTCCCTTCCCAGCAAGCCTCAGAGTCAAGGGCTGTCTTCTCACCCCATCCGCCCCACCCTTTAAGTGCAGGCCAGCCGGAGACCCAGCTCTTCCATCCACACAATTTGTGAAGCTTGGTTCTCCTTAACAGAGGTTAAAGTGTGTGTGTGTGTGTGTGTGTGTGTGTGTTAGTATGTTGCTTGAGCCCAGCTTATGCGTTGACTTGCTAGAGTAGTGTTTCTCAACCTCAACCACTTTCAGATGGGTGGACGTCCGCTCCCAGCATGCCCCAGCCAGCATTCACTCATCTTAAAGCAGGCTGTCTGGGGGATTCCGGGAGTGGACGTCCACCCTTCTGAAAGTGGCCAAGGTTGAGAAACCTTGTGCTAGAGGGACCACATTTTGGGTACATCCTGATAACTATGTCATTGGGTGGCCAGATGAAGCACGTTTGAATGAGTGGCCATGGCTTGAGGGTACGGGCTGCGCCCCCGGCTGGGTTCCTGCAATTTTGAAAGCGGGAGGGTCCTGGCTGGTCTCGGAGTGAGAGGTTCCCTCTTCCCGGGAGCCTCCTGCTAAGCTTCCCGGGAGGGGAAAACAATCCCTTTATTAACCCGCCCCCCTGCTCTGCCTTTGCCCAGTGGGGCTGTTTCCATGGTTCGTCCCGGCTGGAGCTGCCTCCCCCAGCCCCCAGCCCATCACCTCTTACAGCTGGACGTCAGAGGCTCTATCACGGCGTCCGCTCAGCTCATGAGCTATTCTGGGTGGCCAAAACATCATTCCCAAAAAATGAATGGCTGCTCTGGCCGTTTGCCTCCCTCCCTCCCTCCCTCCCTCTTTAGCTTTAGACACCCCCCTCCCTGAGAAAGCACCTTTTTTGAGCCCTGCGAGGTGACACGGAGGAAGAGGAAGGCTCCAGTCGCTTCCAGGACTTTTAACCCCAGCCGCCACCACTTTCAAAGGGCAGTGATGTCAGAGTGACCCAGGAAAGAACGCCGATTTCTGACTTATCTCATTTATTCTACCTCCAAAGCCACCCACGGCCTCTCTGGATAGGGGCGGGGACGCTTTTTGTAATAACCTAAATGAATAAAAATCTGCCCCACAGCCAACGTTCTCCGAGCAGAGGACACAGCTGTATTAAAACTACGGTTTTAATACAGCCACAGCGTGCAATGAACACACGGCACCGGAAAGATATGGCAGATGAAAGCCGCTGTCCCTTTCAAGGGGGGTGAAAATGAAGTGAGCTGCAAATGGGTCAAGAGTAGGAGAGAAAGGATTGTTCTGGTCTGGCAATGGAATTCGAGTAAATACACAAATAACAGCAAGGGGAGGGCTTTGCAGTTGGAAGAGTGCTTGTTCCTTAGAGACACCTGGTAGGAACACCTAGAGCAGTGTTTCTCAACCTTGGCCACTCTAAGATGTGTGGATTTCAACTCCCAGAATTCCCCAGCCAGCCATGCTGGCTGGGGAATTCTGGGAGTTGAAGTCCACACTTCTTCAGGTGGCCAAGGTTGAGAAACACTGACTTTGAGAAAAGTCTCAGAAAATGACCATGTTGCCCAGAGACTCTGCCTTCTTAGCTCACCGTTTTCCTTCCATCTCCGAGTTACATGTGATAAATCCAGCTGCTGGAGACAGGAACAGCTTCCCCCGCCTTAGTGGTATTGAAAGTTCAGATCCTTGAGGGACAGAAGATTGGGAGGTTCACCATCACTTAGTCAGGTTATTCCCAACCTGGTGCAATGAGTTGCGGAAGCTGCAACCCCCGTGCATTTGGGAGGTGTCAGATGGAGAAGGCTCTGACTGGTCACCACAAACCCGTCATTTCCAACATGTTGGGAAGGCAACAATTTGGGGAAAGCCTTCTTGACCCACAGGTGTGGGGGGCTGCAAGGGGAGCTCCAGAGCTGGGTGGCTGTCTGTTTTACCGGAACCTTCTTGATGTGGTTTGTGCTCCTGTGGACATGATAGAGGAGCTGAAAGAGTAGATGAAAGGAAATGGGGAAGGGATGAGGAATCTGCCTTCTACAAGAATGGAAGAAGGAATCCAGGCTCAGTAATTTCATGTGTGTGCGTGTGGGTCTGTGTGTGGGTCTGCCTGTTGTGAGTGATACCACTCTCCAGACTTCCTAAGAACATAAGAAGACTCCTTCTGAATCAGGCCAAGACCCATCTTAGTCTAGGATTTTGTTTCTCACCATGGCCATCACTGTGAGATGCTCAAAAGCAGTCTAGAGATGTTCCCATCTCCCACCATTGTCCCCCTGTAAATGATATTTGGAGGCAGGCTGACTCTGACCCAGAGGTAATGTGGAATCTTCAGGACTGATAGCCCTTGATAGACCTGTCTGCCATGATTTCTCCAGTCCCCTCTGAAAGCCATCCAGGTTAGTGGCCATCACCATGTCTGGTGGGCATGAATTCCACAAATCATAAGATGATTTGGATCAGGCCAAGGCCCATCTTAGTCCAGCATTTGGTTTCCCACAAGCCCAAACTGATGCCTCTGGGGGGCTCAAAAGTAGAAGACCCTTCTCACTGTTGTGCCTCACAACTTATTGGTGGAGTCAGGCTGCCCCTGACTTGGAGGTGTCACACAGCTTTCAGTAGGTGGGTCCTTCATGGAATTTCATCTGAGTCAGCGGCCACCCTCATGTCTTATGGGATTGAATTCTACCTGTTGATCCTATATTGCCCCTTTGATGAACTTCCTGGGTGATGAATAAATGTTCTGAATTTTGCCCAAACATGCTGTCACCTAAAACAAACTTTATATGAAAGGCTTAGAATTGGTGAGTCCAGATTCATTCTGGAAGACTTGAGTTTGAATCCTGCCGAGGTAAGGGGGAGGAAGGGTGCCACCCACTTGCTCTCTTACACTCTCAGGGTCCTGCCTGAAAAATGGGGAGACATTCTAGCTACGTTCACACAACATGCTTAACCAGACCAACTGCAAACCCCGAAGCTTTAGTTGCATTATGTCCAAAGTTGGGTTAGTTGTAATCTCACTGCAAACCATAACATTCCTAGGAAGAAAGACCCACCGACCCCAGAGCACCAGCTTCCCTGAGACCTCTTCAGAACCCTTCCATCTCTACCAGCTTTTGGAAAAGCCCCAGGCAGCTGCCAAACTGATCTCAGGAGGACGACTATTCCATTGGGCAGGGGCCACCCCAGCCCACCCCAGAGCTGGCCAAGAACCAGGCTGGACAAAGAGTGAATCTGTCTTGCAGGATTTAAACATGATTTACTGATGTCTGATCCTAAACTGACTGATGGCCTCTCCCAGAAGTTCCACATGGATGTCGAAGAGCAGCGGGGAGGGGGCCAAACCCTGCAGCACCCCACAAGGATGCACCCTGGCTGATCTTTCCTCCCCCCACCCATTCAGCAGACTGCAGCCGTTGCAAAACAGGGCTCTCCTCTGGTGCACAAGCTCAGAAAATGGGGTAATTCAGTATCCATGTTAAGCCCGTGGGCAAAGATAACTGAGTTAGTTTATGCAGGACACCAGATTTACACTCCAGGAGGCGAAGCCTTGCCAGCCTTGCCATCTCCCGTGAAAAAGTTCTCAAGGACATGGCCTAGGAAATCCTCCTGGGGTGGAACTGAGCTGATGGACCTGCTCAGCGTTCAAGGCTGCTTTAAATAGAAAAAAGAAAACTGTTTGGTCTCCCCCATGAGTCTGCAGTTGGGTTTCAGGACAACTGGAAGCTTGGAATAATAATAATAATAATAATAATAATAATAATAGACTCGCTAGGTGGCTAACAGTGCCAAATCCAGTCTAAACATCTGGCTGACTGTGCCACCAACAAAAATAATAATACTAATGGAAATCGATAGGAACTTCTGGCCAACTGCTCTGCTTTGGGTTTCCGACACCCAGCCCCCGCACCTTCCTTTGCAGAGTTTGGAGGGCTGCTTCCCCCCAACCGTGTGCTGACATGTTTGGAAAACTCTCCGATCATTCTCCGACTATCTGGTTCAAGATTTGAAACTCAGAAATGACTCGCCAAGGAGCAACCCCAACCGTTTTTCCAGTGCCGGTTCGAGATGCCCTCTTCGGCTCCCCTGGCAGCGAACGGCACCCCGGTTTTGAAAGCCACAGTGGGTCCCCCCACCCTTTTTTGCACCGCCCACCCTCACCCCGCCTTGAGGAGCAACTGCCCGGGACGCGCCGAGCCGCGCGGAAGAGCCCTCGCGGCGGCGTTTTCATCTTCACACCAAGAAAAGACAATCTAAGAATTTCCAACCCTCCTTTTGTGGATCGGGAAATTAAAAATAGCAGCTGAGATACCCCTCGCGTTCCGGCCTGCGGAAGGGAGGGGTGGGCAGCCGGGGGGCCGGGGGGTTTGCGTGGCTGGCGGAGCCGAATCCCTGCCGCCCGCTATCCATAGTGCCCAATCCAAGGCTCCTGAATTATCTGGCGGGGGGGGCGCATTTAAAAGAAAGTTGCCCTCATCCCTTACTTGTCTATGGGTCCCTCGGCGCGCAGGCATCTTAGCAGTCCTTCCTCCTGACGTGGCCGGGGGGAG